CGGCCATTCTGGATATGGCTGTTGTGCCTTTTTTTGTACCCTAGAACGGCCCGTTCCAAAACCGGAACGGCCCCTTCCGGGAAACTAGAACGACCCGTTCTGATTTTAGAACGGCCCGTTCTGATTTCAGAACGGCCCGTTCTGGGGGCCTAATTAAGCCTATATGACTGGTCTAGAATGGCCTTGGAACGGCCTTGGAACGGCCCGTTCCAGATTTAGGAACGGCCCGTTCCAGGCCCGTTCCAGTTAAGTTTTTACCCCTTTTTGGAGGGGTTTGGAACGGTCCGTTCCGTTTTTGGAACGGCCCGTTCCAATTCAGGTTTTTTGGCCCTTTTTGGATTCTCGGAACCGCCCGTTCCAATTCCAGAGCGGCCCGTTCCGGAGTTGAGAACGGCCCGTTCCAGGCCACACAAAAAATTGATTTGGGCCTTTTGGGCCCTTTGATGTCCTGTATACCCCCGGACGAAATTGGGTGTCTACAGCTGCCCCTCTTTACTTGTCCTTTGGAATAGTAGTGTTGCTTTTCCAAAGGCAAGTAAAGATGTAGACATTTCGTCCGGGTCTTCTTCTCGTCTCCGAGTTGATGCTTCTACGTTGCTTCCCTTGTGATAGTGAGGTGGAGATCCCATTCTTCAACCTGCTGATGTTGAGTATTCTTGTGCCGGCCTCTCCAAGCCGCCTGCTGACATTGTGAGTATTGTTGTGCCGGCCTCTCTAGGCCGCTTGCTGAACGGTGAGTATTATTATGCCTGCCTCTCGAGGTCGCCTGCTAATGTTGAGTATTATTATGCCTAGCCTCTCCAGGCTGCCTGCTAATGTTGACGATGTGATTGCCCTTTTTCTATGGGAGGACGTCTGATGAAGACGAGGATTGCTAGTAGGTGTTGCCCTTGTGATGGTGGGCAAAGGAGTAAATGATGAGTATTATTATGCCTGGCCTCTCCAGGCTGCCTACTAATGGTGATGATGTGATTCCCCTTTTCTTTGGGAGGACGTCTGATGAAGACGAGGATTGCTGGTAGGTGGTGCCCTTGTGATGGTGGGCAAAGGAGTTGATGGGTGACAGAGATTCTTGTATTGCCCCTGCCATGTGAGTATTGTGATGCCTCTCCAAGCGCAATGTTGAGTCCTTTCGATGATTGATTGTTTGATTGTTGGTGAAAGACTGCCCCCAGGTTGATGGGTAGGAAATGTTTGATGTGCCCCTGTGTTGGTGGGCAGGAGATGTTTGATGTGCCCCCATGTTGGTGGGTAGAGAAGTGGATGACTGGTAAGGATTCCAATGTGGCCCCTGTCGCTTGAGTATTGTGATGCCTCTCCAGGCGCTTCTTGTTGTAGGTTTTTTTTTTCATTTTTGTTTAGCTTTGGCTTTTTCATGTTTGATGCTTGCCTTTTTCTGCTATTTTTCTAAATGCTCCGGCTTTTTCAACGTGTATGAAGCTTGCCTTTTTCTGCTGTTTTTCTAAATGCTTCGGTTTTTTTTCAACGTGTATGAAGCTTGCCTTTTTTCTATTTTTGTCTTTTGTTGTCATCATTGGTGGAGGGATCCCATCTCATGATGATGTTATTTGCTCAATCTTTATTGATGAGTATTATTTTGGAAGCCACTCCTGGCTTTGGTAGGAAAACATTCCTGGTCTTGGCATTTTCATGAATCTTCCATCATTCAGTTGGAGGAGTATAACTCAGTCGAAGACAGAATAAAGCTCGGTGGTTTCTTCATGCTTGTGGACTTGATTATTCTTCCTCTCCTAGTTCTATCCCGTCTTGCTGTTGACGTGTCTTTCTTTTCTTGGTGGTTATATGAAACCACTTGTATGGAATGCCCTTGTTAGAGCTAGGCTTTTTGACATAATCTTGGCTCTTAAGACACTGTCTAGCTGTTGATCATTTTATGAGTGCTTTGGCCTCTTGATTCCTCCGACAAGTGATGGATAGACACACACAAAGAATGCAAGAATGCAAAGGAAAATGCAAAACAGGAATGGGTTGGATTTTTTTTCAATCGGAATACTAATTGTAATAAATATGATTTAAAATACTTAAAAAAATAAATTATATATTTTATAGGCTCTATTTCACTTTCAACCTCAAAATTTTACTTTTTGAAAAATTTTGCTCCCAAACTTTTATATTTTAATGATTTGTGTTCTGTCGCAACCCGAATATTTTCGATCTCGCGACTAATGGTTTAGACATCCTTTTAAAAGTCTCATTAATTAAGGAATGCCCAGACACCAGACTAATCCTTAATTTATGATTTTGAAAATGAGTTCATGGAGTCTCCACCAATATTTTATTCAAAACCAATGTCACAATACTAATTAACATGTTGTCTCAAGAAAGAGAAATACTCAAATCCCAAAGGAAAATGAATGTTTTGTCAAGTGTCCTCTACTTTCCGTCTGTCTCTGCCTTGAAATTTGGATTCTTTTGAATTGAAAAGGTTACACGATATCATTATGAATAATGCGTCATTTATGGCTTTTTCGCCCAAATAAATAAATAAAAATAAAAATATACTAAATAAATTTTAAAAAAATTAATTACCGGAATAGATAATGTTAATATGTTGTTGGGAATAAGATGTATGTTCAAGATCCAATCTATCTTATATGCATTAATAAGATTGTACTTTATTTTCATGTTTATTGATTATGAAAAATAATTAATATGATAAAGTCCTTGATTAAAATTAAAGACTTCCTTTTTTATAATAGAGATTATAATAATGAGAAAAACAAGTCTTTTTTAATTTTAATCTAAATTGTTCTTGATCGTAGGACTATTGAGGATAGGACATCATTAATCCACATAGATGTGTAATAGTCTTTATTGGATAGAGATTAATAGATCTCATTTATTAAATTACTCATATAAATAGTGCATATAGGGATATGACTATTGAACAGACTCTATAAAGGAGAATTCCTAATGGTTATGTATTACTTTAAAATTTTGTCAATAGGAAATTCTTAAGAAAAAATATATAATTTTCTTAGACTTGAGATTATCATAATAATTAACAAGATATTTATTATACTTTGATTTTGGACACCTAATACCTAAAGGTGTTAGTTGAATGATTATTAGGTGTAATTAAATTCTTGTAGAATTAAATGATTAATCAAGAAGGGATCCATCGACTCTTGGTAATGAGTTTGAGCTTTATAATGAAAATACGGACCTTGGCCAAGGCAATTGAAATAATAAAGAAAAAGGAGTTTTTCTTGTATTTTTCATTATATGTTAACTGATTAGAATTTGACAATTAAACCATATTCTAAAGTTAATTTAGAGCTGTAAAATGATGGAAGAAAATTTTATGTTAATCTTCTAAAGGTTCTTGAAAATATTATTTCATACTATCCGGACGTTAAGGAGTGTTGCTAGGCGCCAACCTTGATTAGGCGCCAACCTTGATTAGGCGCCAACCTTGATTAGTAAAATATTATTTATTTATTTTTTGACTAGCATCAAAATATAACTAATATTTGTTTCTATTAAGATAGAAAAGCACGTCAGTTTTTCAATTTCAAATTGAAAGATTCAATTTGAATTTTGACCTAGTCAAAAGTGGCTTTGATAAGAAAAGATAAAAACTAATTTCTTTTGGATATTTGATAATTCCTATTTCTTAGAAGATAGGATATAGAAATTGTTGCTAAGTGAATAGATATGTTTACATATTTATAAATATATAGCTCCACTGTGGAGAAAAATACACAGAGAAACTATAAGAAAATTAGTTCTTTTCTCTCTTATATCCTGTGCTGAAAAATTGCTCAGTCAAGAGGTTGACAAGCAAAGATTAGTCTCAGTGTGGATACACGTGGGACCTTCATAATTTTGAAGGAAATGTTTTAAATTTCAGACTTCAAACGGGTAAACTTTATTTGCTTTCATAAATATCTTATTAATTATCATTGTGGTTTTAGCATAAAGTAGATCTTTTTATTTCCACTACACATATTTAGAACATGATTGAACTTTAATTGGTACCAGAGCTTGTTTTTATGCTATATATTACACTGTTAGTAGTTAATAGATTTATGAAAAATTATATGTGATATTGTTGTTTTTACGATTTGCATATACAACAATTTCATTTTTCTGTGTTTGCGAATAGTGTCTATTTATGATTGAATACTGCAAGTGAATGTCACACAATTCGCATAATGCCTGAATTGAATTCACGAATTGAATAATAATAAAATGTTGGCTAAAACCCTATTTTGGTCCCTTATAATTTTTTTTTTGTTTCAATTTAGTTCTTCATTAATTTTTGGTCTCACTCCACACTCACAATCCAATAAACATCATCCACTGTCCACTCATACTTCATCTCTCACTCAATAACCCATTTAAAAATTTAGGTGAGAAATCGATTACTAGGTAACCAATTTCTCAAAGGAATTTTTCAAAAATTTTGAAAAATCTCTTTGAGAAATCGGTTACCCAGTAACCGATTTCTCACTTGGTTTTTTTTCTTCTTCCAGATTTCTAATTTTTTTTGTTTTTTAGTTTATAATATTTAGATTTTAAAAAAAATTATAATGAAAATTTAAAATATTTATTAACCTTTTTTTTGTTGTTTTATTTTGTTGACTTTTTTTCTGTATTTTTTTTCCAGATTTGCTAATTTCTTTCTTTTTCAGCTTTTAATATTCATCTTCTTTTTTTTAATTATAACGAATTTTTAAAAAAATTATTTAGTTTTTGTTCTTATTTTAGATTATAAAAATGTATTTAAAATAAATTTTAAAGAATAAAATTTAATAAAATTAATTTAAAATAGAATTTTTAAAAATAAAAATATTATGATAAATCACAACTTTAAATAAAAACAACATTAATTGAGATGAACAACTTGAAATAAAAACAAAATACAAAAATAAAATAGGAGATCGAATAAAAAAGAACAACAACAGAATTACAATCCAAGAAATTACAGTCCAACTTTAATGATGTCTATGCCCACCCGTTCAACACTTCGGAGGTTGTCGGTTCCTTGTTGGGTTTCGACGACCAATGCGTTGTTGTTGTGGTTCCTTGGATCGTATATAGTGTATATATAGTGCAAAAAATTTGAATTAGTTTGTCTCATTACGTAAGAAATCCAATGACTTTGTGTAGTGTCATCAATTGCTTTGTCCTAGAGCGTCAGAAAAATTAATGACTTCGTGTAGAGTGTCATCAATTGCTTTGTCCTAGAGTGTCAGGAATCCAATGACTTTGTGCAGTATCACCAATTGTTTTGTCCTAGAGCGTCAGAAAAATTAATGACTTTGTGCATAGTGTCATCAATTGCTTTGTCCCAGAACATCGGGAATCCAATGACTTTGTGCAGTGTCATTAATTACTTTGTCCTAGAGCGTCAGAAAAATCAATGCTTTGTGCAGAGTGTCATTGCCTTAGTCCTAGAACATCAGAAAAATCAATGCTTTGTGCAGAGCGTCAAGAATCCAATGACTTTGTGTTTGTCCACATTAGGTTGCTTTAGTTCTATATAAACCCTAAACACAGGCTAAAAAAATGCAACAGATAGAAACATCCAATCAATGGAGTCGTTAACTGTTCCAGCCACTGCTTACTATGATGGACAAATTGTCTCCACTGAGCATGGAGATACATTTGGGGCCGTTCTCAACTCCGGAACGGGCCGTTCTGGAATTGGAACGGGCGGTTCCGAGAATCCAAAAAGGGCCAAAAAACCTGAATTGGAACGGGCCGTTCCAAAAACGGAACGGACCGTTCCAAACCCCTCCAAAAAGGGGTAAAAACTTAACTGGAACGGGCGTCCAGGTGTTTTCAAAAATATTCTCATCCACGTGGATGCCACGTATGCATCTACGTGGCGTCCACGTGGCCAAAAGTTAACACCGTTAAAGCAATTTGGACGGAAAGTCCTGCATTGAAACTAATTAATTAATTTAGGACTAAATTGAAACCAATTAATTAGTTTGGGACCAAATTGAGACCAAAAATTAATGAGGGACTAAATTGAAACAAAAAAAAATTATAAGGGACCAAATAGAGTTTTAGCCTAAAATGTTTGTTATATTATGTTCCCTGTTTACGAATTTAAAAATTAAAAATTTGCTTTCCATGGATTAGGCATTAATTTAATGACATAGCGTATGATTGATATATCATGTTTTCCGTTTCCGAGTTAAAAAATTACTTTCCACGGATTAGGAATTTATTAACAAACAGTTTGTTATGTTAACATATTTTAAATTCATGGGTTTCCAATTCAATGACATATTCAGAATCGTAAAATATTAATTGGTTAATATTTTATTATGAGAAATTTGATAGTTCAAATTAATTATTTAGAATAGTTTCGGTTCTTTATTTTTTTTAAACCTTTTATATAGTATATTAGGTGTATATTAATTATTAAGTACGACCTGACAACTGGGGGACTTGTAATTAATTATTGCATAAGATGCGAATTTAGAATTAATTTATATTGAGTTCCTAGACAACCTAGGAGAGTATAAAATTAATCTAAGGATACTAATAAGAGTGACTTGACAACCAGGGGACTTGTGATTAATTATTGCATAAGATGCGAATTTGAAATTAATTTATACTAAGTGCCTAGACAACCTAGGAGAGTATAAAATTGATCTAAGGATACTAATAAGAGTGACTTGACAACCAGGGGACTATTTAGTATATTATAAAATAAAATAAAAATTATATGACTTAAAAGATGTATGGAAAAATGTCTTGACAACCAAGTATTTATTCATAAATTTAAGATATTTATTTTTCTTGAGAAGAAATAATAATTTCTTAAAATTGCTTTTATAGTCAATGGGAGAATTTTTATTTTATTTGAAATTTTTGAATATGATTCGACATATTTATTGTTTATATTTTTAGATATCTTGAAATGTCTACTATATCACTTCGTTCTATACTTGCTGATGGAAAGTTGGTTGGATCCAACTTTGATGAACAGGCAACCAATGCTTATAAAAAGTACTTGGAAGACTACATGAGCACCAAATGCCTCCTTTTGGCATCTATGAGTTCTGAACTTCAGAGGCAACATGAGGACATGGACCAAGTTGACATTATTAATCATCTTAAGAAGATGTATGGTGGACAAAGTAGAACTGCTAGATTCCAGTTGTCTAAAACTTTGTTTAGGTCCACATTGACTGCTAATGCTGAAGTAGGACCCCATGTTCTAAAGATGATTAGTCTTATAGAACAGCTTGAGAAGTCGGGGTGCAAACTTGGAAAAGAGTTATCCCAAGACTTGATCTTACAGTCACTCCCTGGGACGTTCTCACAATTCATTGTTAACTTTAACATGAACAAAATGGATTGTGATTTGCATGAGATGCTGAACTTATTAATTGATTATGAGAATCAAATTGCTTCTGAAAAATCCAAAGGAACTGTGATGGTAGTTGGTAAATCCAACAGCAAAAAGGGTAAAGGTAAGACTAAGCCCAAAAAGAAACCTTTTGCAGCTAAGGGTGGTGTGACCAAACCCAATCGTAAGAAAGTTACGGTTGACAAAAGTGATGTTGAATGCTTCTATTGCAAACAAAAGGGACACTGGAAGAGGAATTGCAAGAAGTATCTTGATTCTCTGAAGTAAAACAAACAAGGTATGACATTGATGAAAAATGTTTTCATGATCTCTTTAACTGTTACTGATTCTTCAATGTGGGTATTAGATATTGGTAGTAGCTTTAACATATGCAATACGTTGCAGGGGCTACAGATAACTAGAAGGTTGAAGAAAGGAGAAGTCAATCTTCAAGTTGGGAATGGAGCAAATGTTGCTGCTTTAGCTTTAGGATCAATTTCGTTAATAATGCCTACTGGCAAAGTGCTAGTGTTAGACAATTGTTATTATATTCCAAAATTTGTTTCGAAAAAATTTCGAATATTATTTCAATTTCTATGTTGGAAAAACGTGGTTTTCGTACTATTTTTAATAATAACATTTGCTCAATTTATCATTGCGGTAATTTATATGTGAATGGTTATCTCCAACATGGTATTTATGTTTTGCCTGATGTAAACCTTAATCTCGTTATGCATGTTTCTAATGTTAAAAGAAAAAGGGATGATCAAGTAAACAAAACATATCTTTAGCATTGTAGGCTTGGTCACATTGGAGAGAAAAGAATTAACAAGTTGCATAAGGAAGGGTACCTTGATCAGTATGATTATGAATCATATACAACTTCTGAGTCTTGTCTCAAAGGAAAAATGACCAAATCTCCATTTACTGGAGAAGGAGAAAGAGCTGCTGAATTATTAGGACTGATTCATACAGATGTTTTTGGGCCTATGAAAATTCAAGCCAAAGGTGGATATTCTTATTTTATCACCTTCACTGATGATATGTCTAGATACGATTTTGTGTATCTCATGAAACATAAATCCGAATCATTTGAAATGTTCAAAAGATTTCGTAGTGAAGTTGAAAAACAAACTGGTAAGAATGTTAAGGTGTTAAGATCTGATAGAGGAGGAGAATATCTTAGTAATGATTTTCTTGATCATCTAAAAGAGAATGGGATTCTCTCACAGTGGACACCTCCAGGAACACCACAACACAATGGTGTATCTGAAAGAAGAAATCGGACCTTATTAGATATGGTAAAATCGATGATGGGGTTCACTGATCTTCCAATTAACTTATGGGGTTACGCATTAGAATCATCGGCATATTTTTTGAATAAATTTCCCACAAAATCACTCTCAACAACACCATATGAGATATGGAAAGGGCGTAAACCAAACCTTAAGCAAATTAAAGTTTGGGGTTGTCACGCCTATGTTAAGAATTGCAAATAGATAAACTTGAAGCAAGATCACAAAAGTGTCGTTTCATTGGGTATCCTAAAGAAACAATGGGATATTATTTTTTTCTACCCTTCTGACCATAAAGTGTTTGTGGCAAGAGGAGCAACCTTTTTGGAAAGGGAATTTCTTGCAGAAGGCTGTCATGGTAAAGAAATAGATCTTGATGAGATTCAAAAAGCCAGTGAAACAACTAATGCTCAAGAACATGAGATGGAAAATGAGCAACCTTTCTTTGATGTTTTGAAATTAACGCAAATGTTTCCTTCTTCAACAAATTTGGTTGAAGAACCAACTATAGTTCAAGAACAAGTTAATGAACCAACTTTAGAACAAGATCAACAACATCTTAATGAAGTACAAAGGGATTGTACAATTCAAGTGCCTCTTAGAAGGTCTAGTCGTGAACATCGTGCACCAAATAGATTGAATTTATTAGTCCATGATGACATGACATGTGAGGTTGATCATAGTGATGATGACCCTAATAGTTATGAAGAGGCTATAAGAAGCTTGGACCATGAGAAGTGGCGTGAAGCCATGGAATCCGAGATGGAATCAATGAAGATCAACAAAGTATGGACTTTAGTTGAAGCTTCAAAAGATATAAAACCAATAGGTTGTAAATGGGTTTACAAGAAAAAGATTGGAGCAGATGGAAAGGTTGAGACCTACAAGGCTCGCCTTGTTGCCAAAGGATATCGTCAAAAGGAAGGAATAGATTATGATGAAACTTTTTTCTCCTGTGGCGTTGCTCAAATCAATTCGGATTCTACTTGCTATAGCGGCATACTATGATTATGAAATATGGAAAATGGATGTAAAAACAGTTTTTCTTAATGGTGAGCTAAAAGAAGATGTGTACATGACACAACCTGGAGGATTCATACCCTCTTCCAATCACCATAAGGTTTGTAAGCTAGAAAGGTCCATTTATGGATTAAAACAAGCTTCTAGAAGTTGGAACATTCAATTTAACAAAACAATTAAAAAATTTGATTTTGTTAGATGTGAAGAGGAACCTTGTGTTTACAAAAGGGTTAGTGGGAGCACAATTATCTTTTTGATGCTATATGTGGATGACATATTGCTTATTGGAAATGACATACCATCTTTGCAAAGTACAAAGATTTGGCTGTCTGAACAATTCTCTATGAAGGATTTAGGAAAGGCAGCATATATTCTAGGAATAAAGATTCATAGAGATAGATCTAAAAGAATGCTTGGACTCTCCCAATCTATGTATATAGATACCATTTTAAGGAGGTATAATATGGAGAATTCCAAAAAGGGATATTTGCCAATAGGAACAGGAGTTACTCTCAGTAGGGAAGATTGTCCTAAAACCCTTGAAGAGAGAACACGCATGAATAGGGTGCCATATGCTAGTGCAGTGGGAGCTATCATGTACACAATGACTTGTACACGTCCTGACGCCGCTTTTGCACTAGGAGTAGTTAGTCGATATCAAGCAAACCCTGGTGAGGAACATTGGAAAGTGGTTAAGACCATTCTTAAGTACTTAAGAAGAACTCAAGATTAATTCCTCATTTATGGTGGCACTGGACTAATGTTGAAAGGCTATACCGATGCAAGCTTTGCATCGGATAAAGATGACAGTAAATCTATTTCAGGTTATGTTTTCACCTTATATGGTGGTGCAGTGAGTTGGAAAAGTTCCAAGCAAGCTACGGTTGCAGATTCAACAACTGAAGCAGAGTATATAGCTGCAAGTGATGCTGCTAAAGAAGCGGTTTGGATGAAGAAATTTATAACTGAGCTTGGTGTGGTTCCTTCAATAGAAGAACCTGTTCCGCTATTGTGTGATAATAATGGAGCTATTGCTCAAGCAAAAGAGTCGAGATCACATCAAAAATCTAAACACATCTTGAGAAGATATCACTTGATTAGAGAAATCATTGAACGTGGTGACGTTAAGATTTTAAAGGTAGATGGAAAGGAGAATGCAGCAGATCCATTCACCAAGGCACTTGGCATCAAGGAGTTTGATAAACACAAGTGGGAGGTTGGAATGAAGTACATGACAGATTGGCTCTAGGGCAAGTGGGAGATTGTTGGGAATAAGATGTATGCCCAAGATCCAATCTATCTTATATGCATTAATAAGATTGTACTTTATTTTCATGTTTATTGATTATGAGAAATAATTAATATGATAAAGTCCTTGATTAAAATTAAAGACTTCTTTTTTTATAATAGAGATTATAATAATGAGAAAAACAAGTCCTTTTTAATTTTAATCTAAATTGTTCTTGATCGTAGGATTATTGAGGATAGGACATCATTAATCCACATAGATCAATATATGTGTAATAGTCTTTATTGGATAGAGATTAATAGATCTCATTTATTAAATTACTCATATAAATAGTGCATATAGGGATATGACTATTGAACAGACTCTATAAAGGAGAATTCCTAATGGTTATGTATTACCTTAAAATTTTGTCAATAGGAAATTCTTAAGAAGAAATATATAATTTCCTTAGACTTGAGATTATCATAATAATTAACAAGATATTTATTATACTTTGATTTCGGACACCTAATACCTAAAGGTGTTAGTTGAATGATTATTGGGTGTAATTAAATTCTTGTAGAATTAAATGATTAATCAAGAAGGGATCCATCGACTCTTGGTAATGAGTTTGAGCTTTATAATGAAAATAAGGACCTTGGCCAAGGCAATTGAAATAATAAAGAAAAAGGGGTTTTTCTTGTATTTTTCATTATATGTTAACTGATTAGAATTTGACAATTAAACCATATTCTAAAGTTAATTTAGAGCTGTAAAATGATGGAAGGAAATTTTATGTTAATCTTCTAAAGGTTCTTGAAAATATTATTTCATACTATCCGGACGTTAAGGAGTGTTGCTAGACGCCAACCTTGATTAGTAAATTAATGTAGTTAATTTGCTACCAGTTTAGTTTTGAACCTACAGGGTCACACACTAACGAGTGTTCTAATCTTTGCTCAAGAAAATTTATTATTTGATAATTAAATTAAAGAATTTGATTTTATCAAGTAGTTATTTTTCTTATAAATAAAATATTATTTATTTATTTTTTGACTAGCATCAAAATATAAATAGTATTTGTTTCTATTAAGATAGAAAAGCACGTCAGTTTTTCAATTTGAAATTGAAAGATTCAATTTGAATTTTGACCTAGTCAAAAGTGGTTTTGATAAGAAAAGATAAAAACTAATTTCTTTTGGATATTTGATAATTCCTATTTTTTAGAAGATAGGATATAGAAGTTGTTGTTAAGTGAATAGATATGTTTACATATTTATAAATATACAGCTCTACTATGGAGAAAAATACACAGAGAAACTATAAGAAAATTAGTTCTTTTCTTTCTTATATCCTGTGCTAAAAAATTGCTCAGTCAAGAGATTGACAAGCAAAGATTAGTCTCATGTAGATACACGTGGGACCTTCATAGTTTTTAAGGAAATTTTTTAAATTTCAGACTTCAACCGGGTAAATTTTATTTGCTTTCATAAATATCTTATTCATTATCATGTGTGATTTTAACATAAAGTAGATCTTTTTATTTCCGCTACACATGTTTAGAACATGATTGAACTTTCACATGTGTCATAGAAAACACATGGAGCTAAGACGAGTTTCAAATGGCACCTTATCCCAGACGTATTTATTGGATAATGTGGCATACACACATAAAGTGCGGGGAAGAGGCGAGTTGCAAATGGCGCCCCCTAGGCGCCTTCTACGCAACGCC